CCTGGGCGGCTGGAACGGCGTCTACAAAGGTGCTGCACTGACACATCGCGGAAGCCACTCCCATCACGTGGGGGTCTCCTGGGACCCGATTTCTAGATTGTGTCCCACCATCCACGGGCGTCGCCGTGGGCATCGGGGGCCGCACGGATAGCCGTAGTTTCCACATCGGTCCCGGGTTTCGAACTCGGGTCGTTGAGACTTAGCCGCAAGCCCCTTGTCCCGCCGAGCCCTATCGCCGACCCATCTCCGGTCATCACTTTGCCCTTCGCAGGTGGACGAGGCACGGGAGGCTGGGAAGGCGGCATCCGAGTTCCGGGAATCTTCCGCTGGCCCACGGTGCTCGAGGCCGGGAGACTCATCGACGAGCCCACCAGCCACATGGACATTTTCCCGACGCTGTCGTATGTGGGCGGAGGGATTCTGCCTCAGGACAGGTGAGAAAACGGGGCCGCCCGTGATAGGTCCACCCGCGTTCGAGCTTAGAGCGGCCACCGAGTGTTACGGAGGGACTGAAATCTTATTAGGATACCATACCATGAAGTTTATAGGACTTTAGATTTATTTTTCATATGTGATTTTCAGATAATTGGGTCATAAATTGAATATTTCACAATACATCAGATATTGTCCAGCAGATATCAAAACTGATGTCAAGTTTCTTCACTACAAGTCTGATAACCTGAAAGTGGTAAGGACAATAAACTTAACAAAGCCTTGGTTTGCTAGGTGTTGTTAATCAAGACACCTTCCTATACAATAAACAATGGGCTGTTTTTTAACCAACTTTGTACATCTGGGAGAAGAGGTGGCAGGATACACCTCGAGATTTTAGCTGAAAATGAACAGCTACAGCATCAGTAACAGACCCCATCTCAAGGAGATAATGTAGTGAGTGATAGAACAGGGATCTAACATCTCCTTTATGTCCCCTTGTGCACAAATGGGTATACATGTGCATGATGGCGGAGGGGTGGATGGACAGAGACACAGACAGAGACAGAGACAGATAGAGACAGAGATAGACAGAGAGACAGATAGAGACACAGAGACAGACAGAGACAGAGACAGACAGAGACACAGACAGAGAGACACAGAGAGAGACAGAGTCAGAGAGACAGAGACAGACAGAGTCAGACAGAGAGAGACACAGAGACAGACAGAGAGACAGACACAGATATAGAGAGACAGACAGAGATAGAGAGACAGAGAGAGACACAGACAGACACAGAGACAGAGAGACACAGACAGAGACAGAGAGAGACAGAGTCAGACAGAGAGAGACACAGAGACAGACAGAGAGACAGACACAGATATAGAGAGACAGACAGAGATAGAGAGACAGAGAGAGACACAGACAGACACAGAGACAGAGAGACACAGACAGAGATAGAGAGATAGAGAGACAGAGAGAGACAGAGACAGATAGAGACAGAGAGAGACACAGAGACAGACAGAGACACAGAGACGAGAGAGAGGAAAGGGAAGGGAGGGAGGGGAGGGAGGGAGGCTGTGAGCGGGTGGGAGAGCTCACAGGAAACGAGCTGCCAGCGCGGCCTGTTCGGTTCCCAGGCTCGACGGTGTGGAAGGCCCACTACGTGACCCCCAACTTCTCCCCGGAAGGGGCGGACGCGTGCTACGGGCCGGAGCTGTGCCCCTGCTCCGGGGACGTGACCCGACATGATCCACCCCTGCTGTTCGACGTGTCCAGAGACCCCTCGGAGTCCCGTCCGCTGGACCCCAGCGGCGAAGCCCTGTTCGACTCGGTGGTGAAGAACATGGAGGCGGCCGTGAGACGGCACCGCGCAGGCCTCCGTCCGGTCCCGCAGCAGCTGTCCACCTTCAACAGCCTGTGGAAGCCGTGGTTACAGCCATGCTGCGGGACCTTCCCCTTCTGTGGCTGCGACGCAGAGGACGACTTCCCACCCACGGCGCCATGAACGACAGGGGATGTTTGTTACGCGGCGCACCTACTGTTGCAACGCTGGAAGGATCCGTTCCAAACTGAGGGGGTGGCTGTGAACACAGCTTTGTCCTCAGACTTGACTTCCTCTTCCCATCGTGCTGCGACTTCCAGGAAATGAAAGTGGACTCGGGAAACACACACGTGGGCAAGACGGCTTGGGTCTTAATATTCCGATTCTTACTAAGGAGTGAGAGGCCTGCTTCCAGGTGCTCACATTTACGGTGGTTAATGTACCGTAAATTCATGGGAACGGTTTATGGTGACTATATGTCAATTTAGGACAAATTCATGGTTAATTTATGTCAATTTATGGCAAATTCATGGTAAAATTCATGGTTAATTCATGGCTAATTGATGGTAAGTTCATTCTAATATTTATGCTTATGTCTCTAAATTTATGGTAAAATTTATGGCAAATTCATGGTAAAATTCATGGTTAATTCATGGCTAATTGATGGTAAGTTCATTCTAATATTTATGCCTATGTCTCTAAATTTATGGTAAAATTTATGGTAAATTCATGGTAAGATTTATGGTGAATTTATGTGAATCTATGGTAAATTCATAATAAAAATTATGGCTAATTTATGTAAATTGATGCTAAATTCATGGCAAATTTTCTGGTGAATTTGTGGTAAAGTTTATGGTGAATTCATGGTAAACATTATGGTTAATTTATGGTAAATTTTATGGTAAGTTCTGGTTAATTTTTGATGATAAATTTATGGGAGACTTGAGGGAATCCACAGGGTTCAATGTGGGCTTTGAATTTTGATTTTTTTTTGCTTTCGTTTGGCTGACAGCGAGTGGTACGACCCGGCCTCTACATCAGCCACGTGACCGTGAAAGACGGTGATCAATACTTGCGGTGGGTTTATGATCCGCTGAAGATCGATTCGTGCGATATGTTCCCCGCTCAGTATTTCCGTTTATTTGTGAGTCTGGGCTCATCGGGACCCAACATGACCTTAGGTGCAGCTTCCCCTTATCAATAGTCTATCACCCAGGTATCAATCATCTATCATCTATCATCTATCTATCAATCATCTATCATCTATCGTCTATCATCTATCATCTATCATCTATCTATCTATCTATCTATATATATATCATCTGTTTACCTATCTCTCTATCAATCATCGTCTATCGATTAATCATCAATGTGCCCTATCTACAGATCTAGCTATCTATCATCTACTGATCAATCCGTCCATCCATCTATCTATGCACCTATCTATCCTCTAACTGCCTATTTGCCATGTATTGATT